GACAACAATAAGAAGCGCTGGTCTCTGTTTGGCAAGGTCTTGTCGCTTGGTGGCGCTGGCTCATCGAACTCGGACAGTGAGGACAATGAGCCGCGCAAGGAGTCGAAGTCCCTCACCAAGAAGGTTCGCCAGGGCGGCCCGCCACTGCCCCCCAAGATTTCCACCTCCGCTGCCTCCGCCATGACCTCATCCTCAGACGGCAGCTCTCCCGGAGGCTCCCCCATTTTCATGGAACAGAAGTTCGTTTTCAAGTTTACACTTACGTGGCAGCCTCCTGCTGTCCAGCAGCCTCGCGACCGCGTCCTCACCCGCCCGCGTCTTCCCGCTCCGGCGCAAGCGTGGGTCAGCGCCCGCTCTCGCAGTGGCAGCACCCCTCCGCCCCCGCCGGCCGGTCTCCCCGAACCGACACGCCGTGTCTCTGGCGCAAAGCACCGGGGTCTTGTCGATGAGGCCAAGAACGCCGGCCCATTGAGCCCGCCTACGTCGCCGATACCGACATCGCCCACTGCCACTGGCCTCGAGCGCAAGTCCTCGGTCACCGCCGTATCCTCGACTTCTTTGGTCCGCAGACTCAGCAACAAGTTCGACTTTGAGGAGAACCCTAAGGCCGAGCTGATGACCTTTGACTTTGAGAACGCGGAGAAGACGTCTGCGTCGTCCGTGTCGTCTGGCGACTCGACAGATGCGTCGCCGGTGGAGGACAAGATCGAGGAGGAGCCGCAAGAGCAGCAGCAGCAGCCGCTATCCCCGCCGCCGCAGCAGCAAACGCACCAGCCCCCGTCGAGGATGCAGAGCCGCAGGTCCGGCCCTGAGCCGCTGACCCAGCCTCTGCGTCCCACGGGTTTCTACACCAAGCGCGCCGTCTACACTGGCCGCGCGCTTGCGGAGTGGAGCATCGTCGTCGCCGAATGCAACGGCTTCGTTGATCGGAGACGGGACGAGGGCGTGCTCGGCCTCAGCGACGTCGAGGTGCCGCTTCTCACCGTCGAGGGTTTCAGAAAGATTGGTTAGCCGCCGTCTATTGGATACCAGAGGCAGCGCAATGCATCTCCCCCTTTGGGAAGACTACCGAAAAGCGTTATGACAGAGGGCTGGATACGAGAACTGCTGGACACGAATGACTCCCCTCCCGAATGAAGACAACAGCAACAGCAAGCAAGCACAAAAGCATCAAAAGTATAGGCGTTGGCGAACCACGCCGCCTGATGAAAGAAAAAGGCGGCTCGTATTTTGGGAATTCTCTTGACGCATTATACCAATTCCCCGACCGAATTTCCCCACCACCCGAACAAGCTCCCACCGTTTCGTTTCTTTCGTGGGCTCCTGTTCCAACAGACTCGAATCCCAAGCATTGTTTCCCCTTATCCGCCCAAATTATTGCTTAGAGGATCATTTTATCTTCGTTGTCAGTATTGTTCTTGACTTCTGCAAACATCATCAAAGTAATGATAGTTTATTCTTTTTCTTTCTGCGTGTGTGTGTGAGACCGAACTGGTGTGGTATTTGGTTGGGCGTTTTTTTTTTTTTGGAAATTCGGAATCACAGAGCGGATTATAACCAATCGTTGCGAACAAGGGGAACCGGGGCATTCATTGGGATCAGTTGTCATTTTTGTGTGTGAACCAAACAGAGTTTATTCATTCCATCCTTTTTTTTTCCATGTTCAAATTCGTTTTAAACCGGGGAACACGGGACGGCTTTATTCGAGGGAACATTGTGTGTGAAATGTTTGTAGGATAAGTATATCCCGTTACTATCAATGAGGAACACCTCTTTTGAGTCAATATGAAGTTGAGGTGATGTCTGTTAGTGATTGTTTGAATACGACGTACATGATGGAGACGGATGCCGTGAGAGAAGTGCGATGAGCAGCGGCTTCCTTGTGCGGTCAACATGTCAAATTCCCTTTTCGCGAGTGAGTTACCACTAAGCCAACAGGCTCGATGAGGGCCATCAGACATCATTTGTTGGGCCTGTATGATTGGTTTGCAAACAACGCAAACCAATTCAATATATATATAGATCATGGGTTCGCTACATCAATGCGCCTATTCATACATCACGTACAATGAGTTGATGCTTGACCAATGCCTAGGCGTGAAACCGCCTGGTGAGACCACATCTTGATACTATGAAATGTCTCAGCAACCGCTGTCGAGTAGGAACAGCAAGGACAATGATACATGCCTGTGATAATGCCCACAAAGGTTGATCGATTCAAGTGTTGGGCAAGAGACATGACGCGTGTCGAGATTTGTGGGTGCCTGCCCACGACCTAGAGGCTGGCGCCCACTATCTAGTTGACTGGTGTCCTCTGCTGTTCTGCATCTCTAGGGCTTTCAATGTATTCTATTGGTATACTATCCTCTGACGAGAACTGCGACTCGGAGTGGGGAGCTTCGAGAAGCAAGAAAGTTGTGTCGTTGCCGAGGACTAGACATTCAAGAACCCACTGATCCCAAGGCAGAGTCTCAAGGAGATGTTCTATTCGCTGCTGGTTTGAATTTGAGTCTATGGCAGGAAGAGGGGTCTTATATAGCATACCGTGTGAGAGGGTGGAAATGGGAGGGTGAGGGGTATAAGTAGGACTAGTTGGCGAAGAAGTCTTACAGTATTGGTAAGCAAACAATGTAAACGGTTCTTTGTACTTGTACTGATATGAGAAGTTGACCCTCTCTGTTTGGTGCCTCTGAAATGGCCCTTGTTCTAAGTGCTTGTCGGGAATATTGTGGTCCACATCAACATATACCTTCCTGTGAAGAGGAATAAACCAGTGCTAATGATGGACAATGAGACCGAAATGAGCGACGCGGAAAGCCGGCGAGGCACTACCATGGTCTCTAGAAGTCTTGCTTAATGGTGGTTGTTTTGTGGTCCCTGAATACAAATTCGTCAAGAAAACACCAATCCATTTGCGGTTGCAGGTATGAGGATGAAGCGGTGGCTGTTACTTTTATGGGCGACACAGGGTATTGTCATCATGTGAAGGCTGAAGCAAGAGTAAGGTGACAGGCGTAGCAAGAAGGCGCGTCATTTTGAGAAGCAGGTAATTGACCAATCTTTGAGCAGTCCATATATTCGAGAAAATGGCTATCGTGATGGATGTTGAAAATAAAATAAGGGCGTGACGTGGATCTTTCGCATCGGAGAATCACAAAAAGCCGCCTCGACCTGAAGGGATAGGCCATAAAAGATTTGATATGCCCGGACTTCAACACCGTCTTTATCTTTTCCCTTGGGTCTCTATCGCCGCTTCTGTATTCACGACTTATTCGTCAGGTCGGAATGAGACAGCGCCTGGGTTCGGCTGCAACATTCTGAATGATGTTTATGTGAAGGGCTTGCCAGGTTCTTCTTCAAGCGACAAAAAGAGTTGCGTCAGATATTACATTGGTGTCGTAAGTCATGCTTTTGTTATGGGCCTGCTCGTTTTATATCAACTAGCGCATCTTGACGGAACCCTGGGATTTACGGCATTCGCGCGGCCATGGATCTGGTTTAGGAGCATGACTATGACCACCATCATGTTTAGCAGTACTTCAACATGAATTGCTAAAAAAAAAGTGCGAGAATTTTCAGAGTATTTACCGTGGTATTCCGGTGCCAAGATCAGCTTCCTGTGTGGCTTTGCTGCAGCACGAAGCGGGCGTCGAACTGACGTTGAGCAGCGTTGTATACTCGTGTCACTCTGACTGGCCCTTTTGCAGCTGGGTTTTGATGTTTCAATCATACAGCCAATTTCCAAACGCTTTACGGAATTCTCTTCAAACCATCGTCTCTTGTTGCGTGAAGATGGCTGTGACAAGGACCCAGCTTGGAACCGACTCATCAGGTCACTGAAACCTTTGTGTTGTTTTTTGCTCGTGAGATCAGTGGCTCAAGAATGAAGCATAATGAAGTAAATAACCAGAAGCTGCTAGTAAGCAATCAGAAGAGGAAGACGGGACAATCGGCGGAGGCCACGGACGACAATTCTATCTGGAAAGACGGCATCGAAAGTCATCTTCACGGTGAGCCCAAGAATGGCGCCCATGGCTATGAGACGCGTTTCGATCTTCGGGCCGTCCCTTGCCTCTGCTCTCTGGATATTGAGTGCGAATACGCAAGGCGTTACCGTGAAGTAGCGGGCAAGCCTCTTCAAACTGACAAAGTGAACGTCCTTTAGTGATAGGGCCAGACTGGTATTCAGCGCATCTGACGGTTCTTCAGCGTCAGGAAATTCATTGTCACACACCATTTGACGAAGTGACAGTTTTAGATCTCCCGTGTATTTATTTATATGGTGAACAAAGATAATGGAATAGCCGCCCTTCGCAGCTGGTAGCAATCAAATATACTTACATGCCTTCGAGTTGCTCCACCTTCGATTGCAGAACCATGACGTCTGTCTCGTCTGCCTGAATTCGATAGTAGCTTGTATGTGGCCCAAATCCAACTCCCGAAAAATAGCTGACGAAGCTGATTGCCTTTCTGGGCATGCAGCTGAGGCCCTTGGCCGGATTCGTACCCTCCATCTGTCCCTGTTCAGCTAGCGTGGACGGATGACTGCGGCCCGACCCAACCAAGATGTCAAACTCAATTGGAAGGATCGTTTTGGATGCGATAGATTGAAGGAGTTTCAGCTGTACATGAAGTTGACGCTGGTCCAATCGTTGCGTGCGGAATGCGTGGCATGAGGTGCGTTCAGCTGGTGATTTGAACGCCATGGTTCTACACCAACAGAAACGTCGCGGCCGAAATAAACCCTTCGACTGAGATATGCTGGAATCGTGGCTGGCGTGGTTGATCTAACGATTCTGATGTAAAGTACTCACCGGCTTTCTCGTCGTGTAATCAAGATGATGCCGAAAATAGCTGAACATCTCTTCCGAGAAAACAATTGCGAGAAAGTGATTGAGTATATAAGGCAGACCTTAGTAAGCTGTTTCCCTTTTGATGAAGATCTTCTCAACACAAAATTCTCAGAGCAAAACGACCATTCGCAGAATAAGCCGATCAACATGAACCCGGCAGTCATCTTGACCACCCTCATCGCCGTGACGGCTGCGCTTCGCATTCCTTCCCAACACTCAACTCAGTCCGTCGTGGTTTTGGACACCGAAGATATTGAGGTTGCCTGCTCCATCTTTTGTATTGGGCTCAGTAAGTTCGACCACTTCAATAAATACCTTATTCTTTCTGACTGGGGGTTCTCAGCCAAGTGCTGTCCAAGCGGGTTCTGCGTGGCTCTCTGGGAGTCTTGCTAGGGGCTTGATGCCAGTCGACCACTCGGGTGGAATTTCGATTTGGATGCGGTACCTAAAGTGAATTAGGCAGTTGGGACTTGAGGACCCTGCCAGATTTCAAGCCTAAAGATGGGCGACAGGGCGATTGGATGGAAGACTGGAATATAAAAGGGCGCGTCATGTACCGGCTCATAGCTCTGTTCTTCTTCAAATCGACTTGGTTGTAGCCTGAATCTGCTTGTGTTCGCGACCCAATTGCTCCTAGTGACGATTCGCAACCAAGACTCATGAAACACATAATGTCACTTCAAAGCAGGCCGTGAAGACCATTGCGGCCATTGGGGCCTCTTCGGCCTCTCTGCTGTTTTATGTGTATTGCGTACTTATAATCAAGAAGAAGTACATACAGAAATTCACCATGACAGCGTATTGACGGATCTCAGGGCGTCCTCCTTCCCTGTAAATAAATCATAACCGGTAATCAAGACCTGGTCGGAATGTTGGATCATTGGCGCTCAAATTTGGGCAGCTAGTCTGATTGTCATGATGCTTCTCATACTTGAGAAAGAGGCAAATGCTGATGGTTTTGCGCATAGCGAAAATCCAAGACCTAGACTGAGCTGGATTATAGATATAAATTTCACACGATTGAGACGGTGTTCCAACGTGCAATCCATAATTCATCCCACACATCGAGAATGTGAGGATGGTTTGTGAATGAACGGGGGAATTTGTAGGCGTGCGAATGCTATTGATAAGGTTGACAAGGCCAGCACCGTGCGACGGTAGAGTTGAGGCCGCCAAGTGACTGAACCCCTTTCCGCCTCTGGTGTCCGGCATTCTTACCCATATATGTGAGGGGAATACTTCGACGATACAAACGAATTTCTTTGCTTTGGAGCTGGGAGTTACAATGTTGTGTCTAGGCATGAACACGACGTCTGAAAATGACAGACTTACACACATAGAGTCGACGTTAAACAGCTCCCATGAAGAATGGTCGACCGCGAATTGCCCGTCTCTGTCCCGGAAAGAATCGAAAGGAGGTCGTGCATGATTCTAGAGGGCTTAAATAGCTTCAGTGTCCCAACACATACGTTGCCGCTGCACGCGAGCCCACGTCCATGTTTATGTTATCCCGGTGAGTCCACAACATGAGGCATACGACTACAAAAGGGCTTGTAACGTGATTTCCAGGATAGTATTTTCAATAAACAAGAATCGGATGAGGAATCTTGAGTCTCGATGAGATCTTTAGGATCATTTGCTCAATACGCTGATTGGCTACTTTACACAGTCACATCCATCAGCGCACGTCTAGGGCTGGGCGAGGCAACAATGAGCAACGCGGGCAAGGAAGGTCATCCTGTATCGTCGCCAGCGTATTCTGACTGCATACGAAACCAGCAGAAACGAGAGACGTAGTCGACTTCGCCGCAGAGAACCCCCTCGAACACTTATCTCTTGTACCACTGCGAGCACGAGGAAGATGATGAGATGCCCGTCGTCTACATCCGCCATCGCCGCGCCGGGCTGTTGATTGTGGAGGAACCAGATTTGTTCTTCATGGTCAGCTCAGTTCCGCCTGTGGGCACGACTTTTATACACCTTCCCCGCCATAGGGTGAGGGAGATCGCGGCTACGTCTGGTGCTGATGACATGTTCAATTTAAAACGTCCGTGAGTCCTTCCTCAATTTTGAGTTCAGACAGCAATAACATCTGCGATAGCCCGTTGTCGATCTAATCTGCCACGACATGGTCAATGGTAGTGGTGTCCATGTTGGCAATGTGGCTCATAGAAACAGCTCCTTTCTCAGTTCGCATCGCATTTTCAAACAGAAGTCTTGGTTCGTTCTCGGGTATTCCTTATAATTAAATGCATAGTGAAAGTGACAAGAGGCAGAGCGCGGCAAAGGGACGTCTGATACAGGAGAAGCTTGCATCGTCCAGTGGTGTAATAAATCTCGTTCAATGACCAGTTCCAACTTGGAAAGGACGAAAGGACATTGCAGAGTCATTTGACAGAAGATTCACGTTTATATGGTCAAACCTGAGGTTACCCAGTCTCGAATCTCTGCCCTCTGCCCGAGTTATGTCTACTTCGACCACTCGAAGTAGGAGAACATGAGCACACAGGGCAGGATCTCAAAGCAGCGAAGAAGTGACGGGGGAACGCTGACCTGCTGAAATGCTACAAAATGGAATGGAAGGACACTATGAGACATCGCGGAGGACGTGGTCCGTCCCAAAAGCCCTTGAGAGTTCGAGGCCCGCGAAGCTGGATCGTGCCGCCCTCGGAACGAGGCCTAGCCGCTTGCCAGTCTAGACCTTGCCCCTAGTCCAGACCCTGATCAGCTGAGAGAAGCTTCCATCTCCTGTCAAGGAAGACACCAATCCCTGCATCCAAAGCTTGGTTCCAGGCAGAAGACGAACAATATCCCTCAGTCTAGCCCCTTGGACCCTGGCGGGAAAGCATGATTGTGAGCTGATGTGAGATGTGAAATGTCGGAATCCTCTTCTCGTGCGTCGTGAATCCAGGCCCCATCCGAAAGGAGTGATAAGAACCAAGAACTAGGAACGACAGAATGCCGCAAAAGAAAGAATAAGAAAAGCCCCGAAAGCTTGCATCCTGCTGACCTCCCCTCCTTCTCTATCCACCAATCCCCTTCTCCTTCTCCTTCTCCCACTCTGCGATTTTAGCGAGCAGCTTCCCCCTTCTGACCATCGCCTCGGGTCGCCAGACGCCCTCCTTCTGCGGATAAAACCCCTCAAAGCGGAGCTTCCCGTCGTCTGGAATCTCAAAGAAGGACTGTTTGCTCCGCACGAAGATGTGCACCAGGTCCGGGCCCGCAGCGAGCGTCGCCGGCGCATCTAGCGTTCCGACGCGCAGGAACTTGAGCAGGGGGCAGTCGTCGTAGTTGCTCCAGACTGCGGTCAGGCAGACGGGGCAGCGCGCGATGTTCTGCGGCGCGCCTGACTCTGCGGGAACAGGGAGGAGGATCGGTGAGGCGGTGGTGGTGGTGTCGTCTGGTAGGCAATCCGAACTGCCGGGACCGTCCTCGAGGGGCCTGGGCCTGGCTTGTCTAGGGGTCCAGGTGTCTAGAAGGGACGGTGGGAAGGTTATGGACCGTTGGAGGGTGGTAGCGGCGCCCGGCAGGAGTGTGACCAGCTCGCCCTCGACGACGGCGTTTACCGCAAAGGCGGTGCCGGTCTCACGTTGGCAGGAGGTGCAGTGGCAGCAGTGGACCACGAGAGGCGCGGCGGTGAGGGCGTAGCGGATGTTGCCGCAGGCGCAGCCGCCCTCGAGGGGGAAGATGGTGTTGTTGTAGGTGGTGCCGTGAGGCGCGGTCTGGACGGGGTCGTGAGACGGTCGAGACATCTTCTCGGCGGTGGTGGTGATCCGTTTGGGAGAGACCGGGTTGCGCTTTGCCGTAGTCGATCAATCAGGCAGATCTGGACTCTGACGGATTGTTTCGTCAGGTCTCAGTACTGCCTCGCTTTGCGTTCTCGATGGTGGTGAGGGAGGATTGGATAAAAAGGCACGACGGCGCAGCCTGGACGCAAGAGGCGTGTAAGTGACATTTCTGCGGGAGGCTGGGGATGGGGGGATGGGGGGGGGGGGTGATAATTCTGGCACCTGAAGACGTGTCTCAGAAGGACCCTTGATCTAGGCAATATTGGTCTAGCCGTGATGCAGATGGCAGATTTTGACTGAGAAGACAGTGAAGAAGGAAGAACAAGAGAGGCGAGGAGAAAAGGAGAGACGGAGGAGAAGAGCTTTTGGAGCAAGAAGAGCAGGCGAGCGGGGGCTGACACGAAGAGCTTGAGGGAATTCGCAGACCCAGTCAGAGGCGGCATGATGGCCTGAATAGGCAAGTTTCTTATCTAATCGCTGCAAAGTGACGCCCGCCCCTCTTGCTCTGCGCCTTTAGGCAGACAAGGCCGGAGTATTCGTGCGGAAACGGTCCTTTTGGCCGCTCCTGCATGGCCCTCCTCGACTTTCCGACCTCTGTGGACCAGTAAAAGGTGTGTTTTGACGATGGTCCAAAGGGGAAATCTCCTGTAGACTGAGGTAGGCGCATCCGCTCTAAACGCGTTTAGCCTACTGTACGTTCGAAGTGGTGTGCTGCTCGCCCCACGGCCGAGAGCAAGGCGACGCCCTGAGACCAGGTGAAGCGACGAGATGGTCGAGCTTTTCTTGGCTCTGGGGAGTCAAGGCCATTTGAATTGATCATTTGTGACGGTAGTGGTGTTGTGAAGGAAGGGATTGGGTGGTTGACTCAGACAGAAGACCCTTCGGTCTCTGGGCAAACCGCCAAACAAACCATCGCAGGGTCTGAATCGCCAATGCCCCCTCCACCGACGATGTCCGCATTCCAGCGGGTGGCAGGTTCTCGTTTGACGTCGGCGTGACTTGAACAAAGCTAGGCGCCGTTGAACATGACGTTGGGGTGTCTCTTCGTCATAGCATGTCTGGCGTGACCGCTTTCCGAGAACTTTTCACTGGAATATAAACCGTTGCAACGCCTTCCACGGTCCAGAACCCCGCAAGACATCACGCCTCGACCGTTTTTCAACCATACCAGCCAGCCAGCCATTCCGATAAGAACAGTGGAATTCTCCAGCTCCGAAAACGATCGAACCCAAAACTCTTTCAACGGAAACATCCGAATCTCATAATCATGCAGCCTGTCACCTACCTGGGACTGCTCTTCTTTTGCTCAACGCCGGCTCTCACGGCGCCTTCGCATGTTCACAACCATCTGCAGCGTCACAGAGACCGCGCTGCAACACATACCCTCATCAAGCACAACCACGAAATGCTGGCCAGACGGGCCGAACAAGTCCAACTGGAGGCCATGGAGAACGCCCGGCTGGAAACTCAATCAAATTCACCCGCGGACAAACCAGCGACACAATCCCCGTCAGAACAAGGGCCGACCGTAACGCTGTGGGGACAAGAAACCGGACCCAAGACCGCCGCGGCCGGGGCCGATGAGGTGGTAATACGAGCGTCCGGATCGGCTTTTGGGTACGGGAGAAGCAAAGTTGCGGCGCACGGCGAAATCGACTTGGAGCATGTTGTGGAGGGTCTGGACAGCCGGCAAGTGGACGCGGCGACACGGCTGTTGCTTGCCCATGCGGCGCGGAAACACAGCGGGTTCCGTCGTTAGGTCTCAGCAGGAGGAGGCATCTTTGGGTGGTTCGTGCGGCTTCATGTGTATTTTTGTCTGGAATGGTGGCTTTCTGCTTTGGACTAATCGGGCGGCGGTGAGGTCTGGAAGAGTTGGCCAAGATGAAGATAGATAGCGACTTGCTGCAGGATCAGCGGGTGATGCGCGCGGGAACGTAGGGCTGGCTGGTATTTTTAGTAGTCAAATTGTGGATAAACATGATTCTTCTTCTGGGCAGTTGAGACGATCCTCATTCGTATGTATTGGCTCTTGCGTTGATGTCGGGCAAACTCTGTATCGTAGAGATGAATTGGCACACCCACCAACAATGAACCCTGAACTGCACTGTGACTGCTCGTCATCGTCATCGGATTTTGCAGTGCATGTCGTGTCAGCATGCGGATGGAGAAGGCGGTGGATTTGGGTGTGTCAGCGGCGCTCTCGCATCCCTGCGTGTATCGAGAATCCGCCCTGGTGCTCCTGGAGACAATGTCTGTCTCGTCGAAATGCCGGTGCATATCAGTCTTTTGTGTGCTGAAGCGGCTAAAGAAACGAGGGCGGGTCGAGGATGCTCCCTTTCGTTAGATGATAGCGCTGATCGGTGAGAGTCCCTGACAGTTGTTGTTGGGGAGAATCTTCGAAATAGTTGGGGCGGTCAGCGGTTGACATCACAGTCGGAGATATTTGTAAGAAGCATTGCGGCGATGGCGACTGCCGTTTCGTTTCGAGTCGTGTAAAGCCATCCCATGTTGTTTCCTGCGAGCAAGGCGGCGTGTGTCAGGGTGACGATCCTCCGAGCCGTGCGGTGTTTGGGAAAGGGAACTGTGTAGCCAGGTGTCTTTGTCGAGTGAAAGTACAGTGCGGAGAATCTGTTCAAATGGCGCGAGCTGATTGGCGTGTGTGCCCTCAAATGACCCACAACAGCTTGCAGGCAGGGAACGGGGTCGGGGTACTTTAATCTGTGATCTTGGCACGGGCAACTGTGCTCCCCGTCGCGCACGTTGGCAGCCAGCAGCCGAGGGGCTATATTCGGCACCCCCCAGTCGCTTCTTCGGCACCTAGTTAAACCCTTTTTAGTAAGTTATAGCGTAGGTGCTATACTATATATAGCGTAGTAATACTTTAGTTTTAGTAACTACTAAAAGTTTATTATATAAAGTATTATACTATTCTATAAGATATAGAGCGAAAATTTATATATTAATATACTTACTTAAAGCTATAGCTATTCATACTATTTATACTATTTCTAGTATTTATATTTATACTACTACATTAGCTAACTTAAAAATTACTTAAATTATTACCAATTTAAAAGTAGTAAAATTTTAAAATATATTTATAGAAGTAATAAAAAAGTTTATGAATACTATTAAAGCTAACTTTAATTAAAAAAAGTTAAATTTAAAGCTAATAATAGTAGTAAAAATGGTAATAACTAATTTAAAATAATATTTTATAAAGTTTAAGCTAATTACTAACTTATCTAATAAAACTACTAGCTAATTAATATTTGTATCTTCTTTTTTTATTTTTTAACTTACTTTTCAATAGCTTATTTCTTTTTCTTTTTTAGTAATTATAATAATAATAGTAATATAATAAATATATTAATATTAGCTACCTTAAACATAGAGAGGTCTTTTTTAATAAATATATTATAGTTAAGATAAAAGAAAAGTATTAATATAGTTAATTAATATTATAGTATATTATTTATAAAAATATTATTATTGTTAATTAATATAAAGTTTTACTAATAGTTCCTTTTTTTATAAAATAATATTAAGATTAAGCCTTTTTATTACTACTCTAAATACTATAATCTTTAGTTATAAAATATTAGTTAGAAGTATATTTAGTAAAATAATAGAAAAACAAATATATTAAAGTTCAGTTAAGCTATTAGTAGTAATTAGTAGTATTTTATATAAATAATATTTATTATTTATTAATTTAAAATAATTAAAAATATTATAATAATAGAGTAAGCTTTATTAATATAAAAAAGAGATAGAATAGTATCTTAACTTTTTTATTTATAATTTATTAATTTAAACCTTATAAACTATTTTATATTATTAATATATTATCTTAAGTATTTTAAACAAAATACCTTAAATTAACTAATATAATATAGATATCTTATTATAAATGTTCTTAAATTAATATTTCTCCTTACTAAAATAGTTATATAATACTTATTTTTTTATTTTAATTATTTTAGTAATTATAAAATAAAAGCTATAGAGATTAATAAAGTAGTTATATAAATATAATTTTAATTTAGTATAAATATTTTCTATATATAATATTACTTTAAAACTATAGTTATAATATTTTCTAATAGTAAAGTTAGTAAATTAGAGGTAAAATAGAAAATAAATAGTAGTAAAATAGTCAATAATTTAAAGCTAAGTTATTTTAAAAACTTTTTTAAGGTTTTTCTAGCGCTTTTAGAATAAAGCTTTAGTTATTATATAGATATATACTTTCTATATTTATAAAACTTTATTTAGCAATTATTTAATCTTATTAGAATTAATAGTTAATAAGATAATTAAATTTAATATTATAGTTAGAAAGTTAATATTATTACTATTAAACAATAAGAAGTTAATAGTTAATATTAAATTCTCTATTTTATAGCTAGTTATTAAGTTAATAAAATCTTCTATAATATTAACTTTAAAATCCTAATTAATAGAATTAACTAAAATTTCTTTAGATCTATTTATAATTAAATTAGATAAATTAGAAGTATTTCTAATATAAAGCACGCTAAGATTGTTAGTATTTCTAAACCTACTAAAAAGCTAGTTTTTAGCTTAGCTATTATTATCTATTTTTAGTACTTTATATTATTTATTTTTTATATTAAATATTATATTCTTTTAATATATACTAAATATAGATCTACTACTAAATACTTAGAAATATAACTCTATTAGCTTTTTTAAGTATTTTATTAGAATTAGTTATTATTACTTTTAAGAATCTTTTTTTTACCTATAATTATATCTCTAAGTTACTTAAAGACTTATTTATGTATAGTAGTACTTTTACTTAAAATAAAGTAGAAAATAATATTAAATATTAAGTATACTAAAATAATATTATTAAATTTCAAAAGTAATATATTAAAATAATTTACTTATTACTAATTAATTTTACTTATTTTTTTTAACTTTATAACTAACTTTATATATAATATCTATTAATAATAATTCTAAATTTTATTATTACTACTTAAAATACTAAAAGTATATCTAAGAAACTATATTAATCTTATTTAAACTAATGTTATAATAGAAGCTTAAATATCTAATATTTACTCTTTATTTTAGTTTATATATAAATATTTAAGTAGCTAAAAAAGAGCTATACTTTTTATAATATAGTTAATACTACCTATTATATATATTAATTATATAGATATAATTAATACCTACTTTTTTATTTATTTATATAGTAATATAACTTACTAAATTTTAAGAGGTCTTTAATATATACCTATATTACTTCTTTACTACCTACTATTTTATGCACTATTACTTAGAACGCTTAATTATATAGCTTTAACTTATTAATAATAAATAAGTAGTTATAATAATTATTAACTATAGAGGTAGTTTATCTCTCTAAAGTTTCTAATAAATATATAAATTATTTATAACTTATTTTATTAGTTATTAAATCTCTAGAAGTTACTATAGATTTCTTTAAATAGTTTTTATATTTATAGTTTAAGTTTTATTAATATTCTATACTATATACTATTAATTATAATTTACTTCTAATTATATTATACTTAAAAAGCTTCTAATACTCATAGACCTTTTTAATAAGCCTTTTAAAAATGAAATTAATTAATTTTATATTAAAGATATACTAACAATAATAAAATTAAAAAATTTAGTAAAGATATTTATATTTTAATATTAGAGGGATATAAAATAAGTTAGGTTATTAATAAATAATATATTTATACGTTCTAAGTAACTTACTTCAATCTATATACTTATTACATAAAATATCTAGTATAAGGATAGTTTAAGTGGCTATAAAGTAGTAGGCACCCTCTATAGCTATAACGCCTATAAACTGCTAAAAGGGGTTTAACTGGGTGCCGAAGAAGCGACTGGGGGGTGCCGAATATAGCCCCTCCCAGCAGCCCATTTGCGTGAGGTGCGCCTCCAGCTGAAAGAGCCACAGCATCCCGCCCAGCCCAGCCAGCGTCCGCCAACCCGTGAAAAGCGAGCTTCCAGAAGTCCCTGCCTCTGCAGTATTCCGGCCAGCCTCTCTTGTCCAACCCAACGGCACAGCACAGTAGCCAGTCACGAGGGCAACACTGCACCTTGTCGATCCCACTTGCAGTTGGAGCTCTCCAACTCATCGCCTTTTGACGGCTCCCACTTTCTCAGAACGCTGCCTCTGCCTCCGCCTTCCTTCTCCTGTTCGTCCCCTTATTACGAGCATCACACGTTTCGACAGCCACTGCGCGACACCTCCTCAGCTCCAGCAACACGCCGCCCCTTTCCTTACCAAGAAGAGAACAATACTCACCGTTACTATTGCTGCGCTTGCGACGCCAACATCAATTCGCCTTGTTGCTTAGGGAATCCTGCCTTACCTTATTTATCCGTCGTCCACCCATTCGAAACATTCAAAGCACCCGATTGCTGGGGGAGCTCCGGAACGCTTGGGCTCGTACTTATCCACGCCAGAGCCGCAGGGAGACCGCTTTCCGTGTCGAATCCGAATCCCTGTCGAGTCTTTGCTTCTTGCCCGCTTGCTACCGTAGCATTTACGAGCCGCCATCTCCTGACTGTCAACTTGCCATCGTTGCACCAACTCAATCGCCCACAACAGACCAGAAACAATCGCGACATTGCTCGACCGTCGCATCCCGACCATTGTCTTCTGCCCGCGCGCATACCCTCATACCAACCTCACCCGTCGCGCACCGTCGAGCGCCAAGACTCCCTCGCGATGCCTTC